ACATCTGCATAGCTTTCAAGTTTCTACTTGTGCAAAACTCAGTGTCTTATCACAAGGGTCCTTCCAGTTCTAAAATTCTACCCAAATGTTTGGGAGATTAAATATTTCATTCATACATTAAGGCATGTTACTTTATTAAATAATGTGCATACAAAATTAGTAATGAACAACTGGTGTCAAAGTGTGCTCTGTCTCTCTTTGATGAAGTTACTCACCTGTAAGCTGATGAATTATTGAACTAAATATTTATTAATTTGTCTACCATTAGACTCAGAATTTGCTTGGAAAGAGACCCTCAGAAACTTGACAATTCTAGAACATCTAGTTCTAAAATAATCTGATTCTCAAAAATTCTAAAGATGAAAGAGGATACAGATTTCCTAACTTAATAAATTAAAACTAGAAAAACATTTTTCCCAATGGGGATGGGGTATTTGGGGGGGGGGGGGTCCTAGGCGGTACTAGAGATTTAACTCAGGACCTTGTGTATGTAAGGCAAACAGTCTACCACTGAACCAAAGACACTATCAAAATCCGCCCCCCATTGGGGGTGGGGTTGTGGCTTAGCAGTAGGGTGCTTGCCTAGCAGGAGTGAGACCCTGGGTTCGATCCTCAGCACACATAAAAATAAATAAATAAAAATAAAGATATCAAAAATAAATAAATAAAATAAAGGTATTGTGTCCAACTAAAATATATATACTAAAATATAAATATATAAACTAAAAATATATATATATATTTTTTAAATCCCCCCCCTTGGAGTTCCAAATTGTTGATATAACTAAAACTATTTTTCCCCAGACAGTTCTCTTATGACTACATGCCAGTATTTTACTTCAATCTGTAAGCAAGGGAGAAGGTCTACTAATGCAAAGACAAATTCTTATTAGGAATATTTTTAGGAAAAAAGGAATGGCTAATTATTTAACTAAATAAAATGAAAATGTCTGATTAACTGCCATAAGACCCTTGATTGACAGCTGACAGTCAACTGAGGTGGATAGGAAACTGGTTTCCCAGAAGTCTTAATCCCAATGAAGTTCATCAGACAAATGCAGCAGTATTTTAAAAGAAATACAAATATCTTCCCCAACGAAAGTTATGAATTATACCATAAAGATCCTGTCCAAATGAGGCTTAAAACAATTTTTTTTACACTTTCTCCTTTTAATTTACATAATCTCTAAAGATCTGTCCAGGTCTAGGTCCATCTCCCTGAACCCTGTACTAAAGACCTCTGAATTGTTCAAATTTTTTTTTTTTTTTAACAAACTTAGCTACATTTTTAAGGGGAAAGAAAGTATTTTAAAGAGCAAAAGGCAGTTATAAGCCAGTTCTTGCACAGATAGAAGACAGCAAAAAGCTGGAGAGAGCATAACTCATCCTCCACTGTACTGTCCCTGAAAGCAAACAGAAACCCCAAGGAAAGTACACCTTCTACACATAAAGACAATTTTAGAGGTGTATATGATGGCATACATAGCTTTCAGAGAACACAAGTGATTCTAAACTAAACAATGAACAAAATATTAATATTTGATATTAACATTAACAAACTAAATGTTAACTATTTTATAATGAACGAAGAACAAATTTGCAGGATATTCTTGCTCATCTCCAAATTAGATTTGAATAATCGAAACAGCTCCAGGGAAGGCAACGGAGAATCACTGTGATGGGGCAGAAATAATAAAGACACTACTAAACATCAAACTGACCACATTTAAAGTTTTCTCAAGGATCTCTTGGGTCATCATAGAAGGTGACCATAAAAAACTTAAGCTGCTAATAACACCAAGCAAATGCCACAGATCTACTGAAGTTATCCCCCACAGTACTTACAATGCACTAAAACAGAAAAGGAGTATGAAGGGTTGGAAATTATAACAGAAATATATATTCACTGAATATATCCTGGTTAAATTCATAACTCATATTACTAATTTTAGAAATCATTAAAAAAGAGAAACACTCAGAAACCAAATCTCTCCCCCCACCTCCTTTCTATCTCTTTTTTTCTTACATAAATAATTATGTATTTAAGACTATCAAGACTTTAGGCAGAATGAGAATCAAAAACAACTTCAAACTAGGAGGACTTTCTATCAAAAAGTAGTATCTCAGACTTTATAATAATAAAGCCTAATACATATAGTTTTCAAAGGAAACATTAAAACTATAACAATGTTTTCTGCTAAGACAGAATACTAAAAGTAGATCAGGAACAGCTAAGTCGATTCTTTTTCATCCTGTGACACTTTTTGTTCAGCCTCTATCACTGGCTCCCTTTACCCATATAAATACAATGCAATTTCAATCTTACCACTAAAAAATTTTCATTAATAGTTCTCCAAATTGTCTTCAGTCCTCCAAAATAACTCCATAACATGAAAAAGTTGCACATTTTTCTTTCAATTTAACATTGAAGATTTGCTTTATGTAATTATATTATTTTTGTATTAAAAAACCCATGGTTGCAGCTTTTTAAAAATTCCTTTAAAATAATCTCGGTCATCAATAGTAGTATTATAATACTGTTAAAAATACATTTTAAAGGTATAAAAACAAAAATTTGTATTTTAATGTATTTTAAAACAGGGATACAAATTCCTTGACACTCCTCATCAAAAGGTAGAGTCTTTTCTTCTTGAAACTGAGAGGGCTCATGTCTGCTTCAGTCAACAAAATATGGTATTTGGGGTGACATCACAGCATAGATTAAATGAACACACTGCTTCTATTTTGTCCCCTGAATACAAAGATCCATGTAGGAAAACTTATAACCCTGAGACTACCTTGATGTAAATGTCAAGGGTCCCAGGGGAGCAAAGCCTTCTCTAATCATCCCAGAAAAGGTGCCTGGCTTGTAAGTGATGATATCATCTTAGAAATAGATTCTCTAGTCCCAGCCATTTCCATCCCAGGCCTTTGGATTTTTCCAACCAAGGGCCAAGAATCCTGAACAGAGACAAGCCATTCTAACTGTACCCAGAATTCTGATTCACAGAATATACTAAAATGCAATAGCTATTATATGCCATTCAGGCTGAGGTGATTTGTTAGATAGCAATACATAAAAGAATAGTCATCATCCTGTAAAACTGAGGATTTGCATACTTAACCACAGAATGGTATACTATGTCCATGGGAGTATAACCAGGAGTATGAACTCACCCCCAAAATCTTTAGCACATATACCAGAAGGCAAGTTCAAGAATGTTCAGAATAATAGCATTGATCATTATTTTTAAGTTAAATAAACTGGGGTAGGGGGTATTGCAGTGTACAGCAAGAGAAGTGTGAATGAATTATGGTGTATCTATTCAGTGATACAGGGAAAATAAATAAACTACATGAAATATGAATATTAGTAATACAATGTTTAAAATCCAAGCTCTATAGACAGCTTTTGTAAAGTTTAAAGATAAGAGAAGGTAACCTAGAGATTCCCTGGGGAAAATTTAGAAGCAGCAAATACATGTTTTGCGATTTCCTTCACATTTCTGCCCCTACCAAAAGACTATATCTGTTAATCTTATAATTTCTTAGGCAAACACAAGCAAAACAACTTTAAAAAAAAAAAAAGCAAGAAAAATGACAACTTACAATATAGGATGGAGGTGATCTTGGTAGTAATAACTGCTTAACTGTACAATATCATCACGTATGTATTTTAAAAATAAAGTCATAAATGGATGAGTTTAATCAAGAAATAAATACATACATATTAAACTGCATAAAATGGGAGTGCATATTTTTTTTTATTTTTATTTTTTAGGTATAGATGGACACAACAAAATGCCTTTATTTATTTTTTTAATGTGGTGCTGAGGATCGAACCTGGGTCCCACCCATGCTAGGCAAGTGCTCTAATGCTGAGCCACAATCCCAGCCTGGGAGAACATACTTATGATGGAACAGAAAGAACTAGCACTAGGTTTTGAAAAATAATTTTTTCTAGTTTAAGCAGATAATTACTGAAATCAATTTGTACTCCCTCAACTCTCCTTTTCATATTCATTAAAATACAAATTTTAAAGAATCACAGAAACTAATATTGAATAATACCTGAATATCTACAGAAATTTCCAATAACCAAAAGCAATTAAGATGAAATATATACATATACAAATAAAAGTAGAAACAAATGAGGAAAAGATAGACTTCCATTTCCAACTATTGTACCATATGCAGTCTTCAATAACTAAAGAGGAAAGGTTTCTTGCTATCAATCCCCCCAGCAAAGTTTAAATTTTTCATTAAATTTCAATGAAATAAGTTTAGACAACTACAACTGTATTTGCTATCCTAGGGTACTAAGTTGGCAATGAGAATACAGATGATCAAATGATAAAAGGTGGTATTAACTGGCAGGGAAAGAACTACAGACTGCATCAGATTATTCAATAAGCAACTCTTCTCATAACAGAAAAGCAATGTGACATAATCAGAAGATCCCTCCTCAGATCAGGACATCTGCACAACATCAAGTATCAGCAAATTGGCCAGAGGCTTCACTCAGTAAGAGTTATAAAGCTCAAAGTAGGAATCCAAAGGCAACAAGCTATATACTGAGGGAAATCCATTAAGTTATTTACTTGCAAACACCAAAACCCTGCAAAGATCTTTTCTTCCAGGCAATAGCTGACTATCATAAAGTCCCAGAAGGGGGCAGGGGAAAGGAAACTATGCAAGTAGTTTTCACAGAAAAAGGCCACAAAGTTGCCTATATAAGAAATATCACAAAAGTATATTTCTTATATCCCTCTAAAAATCTGCTTTTCCTAGTTTTCCCCTTCCTTGGTTTAAAAAAAAAAAAAAAAAAAAATCAACCCCCACCCCACCCCCAAAATCAACACACTTGGTTCTGCAGTTTTTCAAGGGAAAACACTCCCTTTTCCCCACCTCTCTCCCACTCAAAAACTTGCCTCTACCTTCAAATACATCCATTCTCAAACCTCTGTGTTGCCTGAAACTAAGCAATCACCATATCTCACCTGGAAGTGGCATCCTCCTCCTCAGTGATCCTCCTGCCTCCAGAACTTCGTAGCCTCAAAAAAGCAGCCAAAACATCATTTAAAAATCTTATCAGATCAAGTCACCCCTCCTGTTGAGAACCTATAAAGTTTATGACTATTTTTCATGTACTCTATTCTGGCCACTCCAGACTATTAGTTGTACCTTTAACAGCCCAGACACTCTACTTCTGGCTACTGTACTGACTCTTCAACTTTGAACACTTTCATCTCCCAGATATCCTTGGGCCTTCTCCCTTACTTCCTTGAGGTCCCTTATCAAAAAAATCTTCTTTAACCAATACAAAAATAATAAAGTTGCTGCTGTAGCTTCTAGCACCAATCACTGCTTTCCTACACCCTTTTAAAATAAATATTTTTAAAAATATTTATTTTTTACTTAAAGGTGGACACATCTTTATTTTATTTTATTTTTTATGTGGTGCTGAGGATCGAACACAGGGCCTCACAGGTGCTAGGCAAGCACTCTACCTCTGAGCCACAATCCCAGCCCCTCCTGCACCTTGTTTTAATTGTCCTCTGCAGTACTTAAACCTTGGCATCATATATTTACTTGTGCACTGACTCCCTTCAGCAATGCAAGTTTCAAGAGTAAAAATTTGTATTAGTTTTACTCACTGATGTATTCCCAACACTGAACAGTCTCTCTATATGCAGCAAGCATTCAATAAATGTTTATTAAATGAATGGATGCTGTTGATTTTAGTGGTGGGGAAGCAAGTATCCTATTCACAGGGTTCACAGTAGTAACTATGTGCATGCCTGGGATGTCAGCCAAAAATCTTTATTGAGAGTTATTATAGATTTGATCTAATTCGAATTCGAACCCCAATGGAAATTTTTAGGGACATTTAGCAAAGGCTGATGGATTTGACTACAGAAATTTAAAACTTCTATTCTTCAAATAAACTAAAAGACAAATAAAAGCTAGGAAAGGCAATTTGCATTATAACAAACTTTTTTTTAAAATGCAAAAGAACTTTCAAATAACTCAAAAAAAAAGACATCAGTACTTGTAGCTTTAACTCAAAAAAGACATAGGTACTTATAGCTTTACATAAAAAATATAAATGGCAAATAAATATAAAGGAAACTATAGAAGTACATTAGTAAATCAAAGTAATAAGTGTAAAGAATGCTTGTTTGCCTATTAAATTGAAAAAGTTTTAAACAATTATACTATGTTATGTTAAACAATTATGCTTTGTTAATTTGTTAAAATATGTTAAACAATTATACTTTGTTAGGTTTCAGAGAAACACTACTCATGAAAGATTGCAGTTTCTTCTGGAGAACCTATTTATCAAAACCATCCTTTATCCCATGACCAAAAATATACCTACAATTTATCATAGGATAATCTGTAATAATGAGGCAAGTTTTAAAATACTTTTAAGCTTCTACATAAAATATGACAAACTTAGTGTCACATTTCCCACGTTTGTCTTATTTGAGTTTCTTTGGTTTCTACAACTGTGTCAAAATGTTTTCAGAGGGACTGGGGAATATAGCTCAGATGGTAGAAAGCTTGCTTGGAATGCACAAGGCCCTGGGTTCAATTCGTAGTACCACCAAAAAAAAAAAAAGGTTTTCAAAATGGTTGCCAGTGATGTAGAAGCTATTATAAAGACAATATCTATCAATATGGGGTCTGTAAGTCTCTCTACTACTACTAGATTACAGTTGATCTCTTCAGATGTGGCATATGATCTTAACTTCAAAGTCATTCCCATTCTGAAAAATCTGATTCATTTGCATTCTATGCTTTAACTTCTGAAGTAATCGAAGTTGGAAACCCTACACTAGAGGTCAAACTTTAAACCTGTGTGTTATAAATAATGGTTGACAGACCCCACACTCAGAATTTCTCAACCAGGAGACTTGAGGTAGAGTCCCCTAATTTCTAACAAGTTCTTAGGTGCTGGTCCCAGAGACCATATTTTGAAATTGATGAAATTTTTTCATTAGAGCCAGAGAGAGGTCCAGCATCTCTGGAATCAAACTATTATAGGATAATTGAATAATATTGGAAATTTTGTTAATAGGATGACAGCTGGGATAGAAAAGCTGACGGCCAAGTCATTCCTTAAAATCGTTTTAAGCAGAATGAATTCCTTTAAAAATCACCTTGTGTGTATATATAAATACCACATGAAATTTCACCTTTAAAAGGAACCAAGCAATCATCTTTAAAAAGAACCAATCAAATATAAATTATCAGTGGGAAACCACTACTCAATATAAAATTTAGGAATCAGTCTAGAAGTTTAATTACCCCTTTACACAGCAAGCATAAAATAACAGGTGTTGCAAATAAAAATATTCATGCAAAAGATTTCTTTTTTTTTTTAAGAGAGAGGGAGAGAGAGAGGGAGAGAGGGAGAGAGAGAGGGAGGGGGGGAAGAGAGAGAGAGAGAGAGAGAGAGAGAGAGAGAGAATAGAGAGAATTTTAATATTTATTGTTTAGTTTGCGGCAGACACAACATCTTTGTTTGTATGTGGTGCTGAGGATCGAACCCGGGCCGCATGCATGCCAGGCGAGCGTGCTACCGCTTGAGCGACATCCCCAGCCCCGCAAAAGATTTCTTATAGCTCCACTATTTTATGACCAACATGTGTTATCACCAGCTTCAATATTTTGCACTGAATTTACATTCTACAGCTGAATACTACATATAGTAGCAAACGTTTGTTGAATGCTTCCCTTGATCTGATTGTGCTATACACACTGCATGAATTTTCATCATTTAATTATTGTAATGATCATATAAGGCAGAGCCTACCACCTACACCTTCTATCCCCACATTGCAAATGGATAATATGAGGCACAAAAAAATTAGGTCATTTTCCCCCAAAGAAGTACAGGTAAAATCTACTTATGAATCCAAGCAATCTGGCCAGACTCCTTGCTTTTAACTACTGTACTTAATCATTTAAAATCCAATACTTCTAAATTTACAAATTTTTTTCCAAAATTAGCTCTTCCTTTAAACTTATTGTCTGTCAATACTACCCAGGCTCAATATTACAAAGTTCCTGCAATAATTAAATTAAGTCCTACCACATTTCACAACTACCTTTTTCATTTTATTTCAAATTGATGGAAACAGTCTGTAGTTATCATTTTCCTGTCTTCAAAAACAACTAGTACTTAGGCTTTTGATCTTCCTACATCTAAGGCAGCTGTGCGCCTCACTACCAATGTGTTGAAGGCCAGCTTACTTGACAACAAAATCATTTTAAGCACAGTGAATTCCTTCAAAAATCACCTTGTGTGTATACATAAATATACCACATGAAATTTCACCTTTAAAAAGAACCAATCAAATTTATGATTTTGTCGGGATGAATCCAACTGCTATGTTTAACTATAAAGCTCTATTAAAAAAAAAAAAATCAACTTAAGCTCTTTACCTACATCTTTGACTCATTTCTCTATTTCCACAAATAGTTAAAGCCTATACATATTTAAAACTCTGATATTTTATGCAGAGCATACTTTGTTTCTGCAGAAGATGGAAGGAGGAAAAAACTCAAGAAATGATATTCAATTCAAAAAAGTACCATGTCTAAGTGGAAAGCTAAAAAATAGTTTTGAAAAAGAACCATCCAAATATCAAAGCCCTCTCTCATAAAGCCATTAACAGTCAAAGAATCAAACTGTTGAGGCATCCCAGTATGAACAGTATCTGAATATCAAAGCAAATTTTATTATAGGACCATGGCTGGGCTCCAGCTCCAGACAGAACAATTGTAGAGACTCTGTACAAAACTGTTTAAAATGAAAGAACTCCAAGCTTTTGTCACTGGGGTCAATTTTATATAGTATATAAATCTACACCATGCAATTCCATGCAATATATAGATATATCTACAACCATGATTTTGAAGCGCTAAATCCTACCAGATAGCAGTTAACTATATTTAAAGGTAACAAAGGAGGTGTACTTCTTAACTAAATGAAATAGGAGACAGGCAGCACTTCAAGGATATAAGAGCTGTGTTGAAATGAGACAAGTTATGCGAATCGGTTCAAATGACAAGCTTACATGCAATCTTGAGCAAGTTTTCTTCCCCCTACCTCAGAGTCTCAGTCTCTTCATCTGTAAATGAGGGTACTATCTAACTTAAAAGGACTGTTATGGTGACTTGGGATCATGTATATATGTAATACCTTAGCACAAGAGTACAGCACTTTAAGAACAATATGAATTCTCTTCCCTTCCTTATCCTATACATGTTAAAGTACCTGATATTTGTCTAGATTCTAACTAAAGTTAGGTGAAATAATACAGCTTTTGATTAACTTGTTGCCATTTAATGTATCTACTAACTTATCTTTCTGACTACTGCTAGAGATGATGTCTCACACTAGTGGTAGTAACATACAAGGCTTGAACGTAATTCTCAAAAACATTCAATTATGCTTGGAAATACTGAGAGGGTTAGGGGGGTTCTTGGAAATAACAGTTCTACCAATTTTATTGGAATTATTTACTGTCACGAGCCATCCATGGGCTGTGTGTGTGAGCTATGTGCACTGAGCATATGAGGGGACTGGCCTGACTAAACTGCCTGATTGGGCTGTGCAACCTATGTATGCCTTTTCTCTCCCTCAGCCTAATCTCACACAGCACCTGAAATGGGTATGGCTTTCCAAGATGTCAATCTGCTGACCACAAGACATCACCAAGCAAAAAGGCTCCACCCTTCGAAACCCAATCTCTTGCCTTATTTGGGTGGGATTTTGTATCAAATGTCTTTCTCCTAAATAAATAGAGGGGCTTGGGGTATGCTCTCTCTCTCTTGCCTCCCTTGCCTTCCAGCATGGGAGCTGACACCTGAGGTTTCTGAGGCATCCCTGACCCCTATTCAGTGTATAAAATGTATTTCTGTGTTTGTGTGGGGTTTTTTAGTTGCCACCCCAGCCAGCTGGTGACAATTTACTTTTAGAAATGATTAACCCTGAGAATTTCCCTGACCCAGACACTCTCATAAATACTTGTAACAAAAA